ATCGCATAGAGTAAGAAACTATATAGAGGTTTCATTTGCTCTGCCCGCGCTCTCGAGTGACTTTGCCAGTGATGTCACGTAGGGGAAAAACGGAAAAAAGAGAGTTTTTCAATTGCCCATGGTGAATTCTTATTGCTGCACTGCTCGCTCTTATTCCTAAGGATAGGTGCGAGAACTCCCCATACTATTGCTTGTGCTTCGCACATGTTAGAAGTGGTGAGAAACCGAAGTTAGAAGAAGTTAGCTTCGAACATGGCTCTCAGCAGAGCTTTGGCAGAGGCCCGGCAGAGCAAATGAAACCTCTATATAGTTTCTTACTCTATGCAAATCGTCCCGTTACCGTCGGCACTACCGTGTCCTGGAACATAACTCGGTTTTGTACATAATGGAGCCACTTCACATCCCGCATCCTCCTGAGAGCCTTTGTAATGCACGTTTGCACCCTTTTTAGTGACGAATCGCAGGCCGTGTCCCAGCAAGTGATTCCCCAGTTTAAAGTTGGAAGGACGGTGGCCTTAAAAAGCCGCAACTTGGCTTCAAGGGATAGGCCGCTACCTGGTCGAAGGAGCCAGTCCATTTTGGCATGTTTTGTTATTGCTGATCCACAAACTCGAAACTCGACAAACCCCGAAAGCTAGCTGCAGTTGTTCAAGCAGCTCATTCGTGGGCTTGGCGAAACGTCATTCATCCGCATGCAACCACTGCAAGGCACTGCCTTTTAACAAAGACCAATATAATCTTAAAGATGCGTAACGCCATACTATTTTTTTGCACACGAATTTTTTGTGCTGGCTTTTCAACTGGCTTTTCGCTCTCTTGCCCAAAAGCCAGCGAGAGATCGCTCTAGAGCCAGCCGCTCCATAGAGTAACAATCTATATAGAGGTTTCATTTGCTCTGCCCGCGCTATCGAGTGAATTTGCCATTGATGCCACGTAGGGGAAAAACGGAACAAAAGAGAGTTTTTCATTTGTTCGATCGAACTGGAATCGAGTCGCATGGTGAATTCTTATTGCTGCACTGGTGGCTCTTATTCCTAAGGATTGGTGCGAAAACTCCCCATACTATTGATTGTGCTTCGCACATGTTAGGGATGGTGAGAAACAGAAGTTAGAAGAAGTTTGCTTCGAACATAGCTCCTTTTTCATTTTTAAAAAATCCAAAATTTTTTTTTTGCATTATCTTAAAGAACAACTTCTTTAGAACATTTCCCCAAATTTTCATAGAGATTTGAGCAGTAGAAAGAAAGTTACAGCGCTCCTAGCCGCGCGCCTCGCCCAAACCCAAACTTGAAACTTTAAACGCGAATATCTCGAAATGGTGTTTTTTGAAAAATGACTTTGCGGTGATATGGATTGGGGAAAAACTACTGAACCGATTTTCTTCAAAATTTTTTTTAAATGTTCGTAATGAATTTTATTAGTACTTGAACGATCGTTTTTTCATGTAAAAATTTTTAAACTAATGAAATATTTTTATTTTTTCGGCTTCAGTTGACCCGTTCGTCCTGGGGAATTATCACCGCAAGGCTCTTTAAAAAAAGGCGCTTAAGGGAAACAGCCACACCTTAAAAACTATTAAATATTTTTTCAAAATATTTTGCATAAACATTGTCAACAATCTAAACTTTTAGAAAATATAATCATTCATTTAATAAAGACAATAGTTACATACATAAAAAAATCAAAACATTTCTATTTTTTCGACAAAAAAATAAAAATAAATAATAAATATTTGTATATGTATTTGTATATTAACTATTTTATTTATTAAACTAACGAACTAACAACTACTAAATAATTGAAATAGTTAATATGTTAAATATTCTATTAAATTGATTAAATAATTTAAATAGTCAATTTATTAAATATATACTATTAAATAGTTAAAATAAAACTGCTTGATTAAATATGAAAATATGTAAATGCAGGTTGATAATATTAGATATGATTCGTATTTACTTTAAATATTTTAAGACATTAAATCAAAGTTTAATATATTTGAATAAAAATTAAATTTTAATTTTTTCTGTTATATATATATATATATATATATATATATATAATATATTTAATTAAATAGCCTTTAAATATATTCAATTTAAATAAACTTCGCTTTGTTTTTGTTTAACAATCATATTATATTAAAATATATTAAACTTTATTGAAATATTTTTAATTTTAATCAAGCAGTTTTATATGATTTGTACTAAAAGTTCCGTTTTTGGCTTTAATTTAAATATGTGAAGCTCTGCTGAGAGCCATGTTTGAAGCTAACATCGGTTTCTCACCACACCCAACATGTGCGAGGCACAAGCAATAGTATGGGGAGTTCTCGCACCAATCCTTAGGAATAGGAGCGACCAGTGCAGCTGCAGAAGCTCACCGCGGGACTCGATTCCAGTTCCATCTCACAAAAGGAAAAATTTCCTTTTTTTTTCGTTTTTCCCCTACGTGGCATCACTAGAAAGCGCAGGCAGAGCAAATGAAACCTCTAAATAGTTTCTATACAAACATGAAATAATGCTAAAACTGTTGAGGAAACCATACAGCAAATTACAGAGGTTCGTTCTACAAGAAGGTGAAGAATCTGATGAAACAATCGACATTCGCACCAAAAATCGAAATTTCTGCAAAGAATCTCCGATGGGCCATGGTTTGTTAGGAATGAATGAAAACATCCGCAGGGATCTTGGCATTCCGCGATTAAAGCAAAAGGCGGCCATTCTTACTTTCCAGCCCAGAGTAAGTGAAATATTTAATTTTCTTGCAGTTAGAATCAGTGTAGGTTGAGGTAAGCCGGACGGAAAGAGGAATGACAAGTTTTTTTTAGTTTTAAGCCTAGTTGGTAGATCGAAAAACGAGTTCGCTAGCGTAAAAACTTAAATCTTTCCAGTGTGACTGCATTTACGAGAGTTCATCAGAATTAAGAGTGCTACGGTCGTACTGTCAATCAGCTTGGTTGGTTGACAAGCAGTTGAAAATCAAAAATCGTATTTGCGGGAAAGAGCCTTTAAAAGATATTATCAACTACCTTGCCAAGACAAGTCTGCCGCTGTACAAAGAAATTAAAAAACAATACCATTTACGAGTTGTTTTTTTAATTTCCTGATAATTAATTGCTAATTTAATGTTCATAGTTGCGAATATGTAGTTCTAACAGGCGATTTTTCTAAGTTTTTTGTAGTGTTTGACCTAGGAAACACTTTGCTCTGAGGCACCCCACTCTTCGGTAGCTTGCATTTTAGGTGGTATTTAAAGCTGCCCTGCAGCGACTTCCACCCCAGCTTCCAACTATTATCTAAACATATACATATATTGTATATGTCCACATTAACAAATATTTAATAATGTACAATTATGACTCACTATCTTTATCCATTTCCCAGGCTATTTCCTCCCTCGCTCTTTTATTATAATAGTTCCATTAAAATGTTTTTTATTTGACAAATCCCACAATTCTGTGCGGGACTCCACAGATCGTATAAATGTTATTTTGTCCTCACAAGTAAACTCCTGCAATCGATTTTTGCTGTTTTTTTTTTATTTTTTCCCTCCATTTTTTAAAATGTTCATTAAAAAGCGCACGCCAAAAGATTAAATTATACCCTTGCAGAGTTTATTATACTTTTCGTCAAAACTGTGCAACGCAGTGAAGGAGACATATCCGACCTTATAAAGTATATACATACATACATATATTCTTGATCAGGATCGCGTCCTGAGTTGATATAAGCATGTCCGTCTGTCCGACTATATCCTATAGCTGCCATATAACTGAACGATCGGAAATGTCATAACTTTGGTGAACGATTGGAAATGCCATAACTTTGGTGTTTTTAAAGTTAGGAAGTAGGGATTTTTATAAGTGTTTATTTCAGGTTGTTGGCAACACGATGTAACTTTCCGGTATTTTAGCTCCGCACTTTAGCTGCTTTTCTTGCCAGTATTACCATAGACCAATATAATATGAGATTATATTGGTCTTTGGTATTACCCACTTTCGTTGCCAAATCATGTGAGGACAAAATAACAGACCAAAATGTTTTTTAGGTCAAGACTATACGAAAAACACAATAAAAGTGCTGCACTGGAAAGATTAAAGTTTTTACGCTAGCATACTCGTTTGTCGATCTGAGTACTAGGCTATTATGTTGAATATAAACGCCAGTGTTACCCACCACTCCTTTTTATTCTAGCAGCCGGGCGGCAGTATGGTGGCCCATACTGTGTTTTTTTCATGAAAATATTAATGTGGATTTAGTTGTAAAAAGTCTCATTTTTTTAATATGAATGAATAGAATTTTATCCGATGATACCAACTACACTGTCATTAAATATATAAATGTTTTATAAAATACTGTGCCGATTACTACCGTTACTTAACGAAATTATTTAAAAATAATGTTAATTTCAAATGAACAAACACCCACTGGCGCAAAAATTGCCCCTAGGAATGGTTAAATTTTTAAAGAAATTTATATTCCCTTATCTTTCAACCATTAAAAAAAATTCAATTCCTAGGTAACTGTTATGATTTTAAATTTTAAATGATGGATCAAGGAGTGATCACAACATCAGGAGTCAGTGGTTCCAAAGTGATCTAATTGTTAGAAATTCTAGTAGAGGCAATTTTGTTTTTGACATCGATGTCCTCAATACCTCCTCTTATATTGCCCTTCTGTACCGATTCGCCACTGGCTAAATCTAAAAATTAAATTTGGTTTTGCCACTAACATTTTCCAAAAACTAGTGCAAACATCAAGTCAAAACAAAACCAAGTTTTGTCTGAAACTCGATTAACTAAAAACTCAACACAAGTGTAAGCTGGCGTTTAAATTTAACAAAGTTGAGTTGGAAACCGGTTATAACCAAAATTTGAAATATAGAAATATGATGCAGTGGGATCCGACTATTGAAACTATGTTATGAATCTCCATAAAGTTATTAGTATTTGTTAAGTAATCGATTGAAACATCGATTACATTAAAATATCAGCCCTACAAGTAAGAAGCCTCGTTTTTCTGTGTATTTTTGATTTGCGTTTTAATATGTCATATACTGAACTAAATAAGTGTTTTACCTGTTGTCTGACTACTACCATGAAATGTAAAAATGCGGGGTTTCCTTTCTCTGATTAGAAGAGCTGCTTGAATAAAAGGGTTGTTTTGGTCCCATATAAGATTTAGCAAGTTGGTTTAACCATTTGTATTAAATTAAAAACTAAAAGCAATGCTCCTGAAGATAATTGTGGTTCATACTGCGTATTTAGGGCAACTCGAATGATGAAATAATCTTTTATTGTTGGCTAATGTTGGAATTAGGTATACAAAATTTCATATTAGAGCAAAAGTTTGAAATTGTTACAAGTGTTTACTATTTTATGTAGCCTCTGTAAACTTGGCTCCCTTAGAGACAAGTTGCGGCAACATATGTTTAGGATTTGTGCCTGGAGGGAGTGGAATGTTCTAAATTGTTGGCTTAACAGACACGTCGTTTGATGCAGATGCCGGACACTCGTGATACTTTAAACAGCAATACCGGCAGCAACAATGTTTCGTCCTTGTGCAACGCTAAAATGCACGGAAATTTTAAGCTACTAGCTGATCCTCAGTTGGTAAAATGCGGAGCCAAACTCTATCGATACGATGGCGTTGTGGCAGGAGACCCGACCTATCCAACAATAACGCCCAGGGATCCTCGAAATCCTCTTATTCGTATACGAGCCAGGGCAGTTGAGCCATTAATGCTTCTTATACCTAGGTAAGATTTTTTTTATCTTAAAAATTAAAACCAAATCCTAAGACATTATTCGCAGATTTGTTATTGATTCGGACTATGTCGGACAGCCCCCTGCTATCGAAGTTACTCTGGTAAACCTAAATGATAACATCGACAAGCAATTTCTTTCTAATATGCTGGACAAATGTGGAAATTCCGATGAAATAAATATTTACCACCACCCGACCACAAACAAACATATGGGCATCGCTCGTATCGTCTTTGAAAGTACGAAGGGAGCAAGGCAGTTTGTTCAGAAATACAACCAAAAATCTGTAATGGGAAAGGTATGGCGAATATTGGTATTAAACCTTTCTATCACATTCTAATTTGACTATTTCAGATATTAAATGTGTTTTGCGACCCTTTTGGTGCCATATTAAAAAAAACCCTTGAAAACCTGACAAATCCGGCCGTGGCGAAACCATTGATAGGAACGCCCCAATTGTCTTTGCAGCACATTGCTTCCCAGGATGCAGAATTCAGTCACGGATATATTGAAAAGGATGCTCAGGATCATTCAAATTGCGTTTACAGCACTTTTCAAATCAATCCTGATAGTGGAGAACGCAGTAGGGATAAAAACTGGGATCGCGACGGGGAAAGGGAGAGAGATCGCCACTTTAAAGACCGCCGTGGACATTCATCAGAGCGATGTTATGACCGTGAAATCCGAGAAAAGTACTCAACTTCTGTGAGGCATGATCGTAATTTCTATCGTCGACGTTCTCGAGATATAAGCCCCGAAATTCCTCATGATAGATTGTTCATTAGAAGAGATAGAGTTAGAGACTCGGATTCACGGGCACGCGATTACAGTTGTTCTAGGGAGCGAGATTCATTTCGTGACTGTAAAAGATCTCGCGACAAAGCGCGAGAGCAACCCAGAGAAAAAAGAGAACATCGGTACAACTCATCGAAAGAGCGAGAGTATCGAGAAAGAGAACGCGACCGATCTACAGAAATCGATAAAAGGGATCGTGGCAGTCTTAAGTATAATAAGCGGTACTCCTTGCATAAATATACCGAATCTGATGTTAGAAGCTCTTCAAAAGCAAAAAGTCATGACTACTATACTGGACTTTCAGGCTCTGGTTTACCTGACGAAAGCTACGGATGTAATAATTACTCGTACTCTTTGAATGAAAGTATTCAGACATGGTCGGATCATAGAAGTTGGACTGCGCCGCAGCCTGACTTCCAACCTCTTCCGCCTCCTCCGCCGCCTCCAGAAGAGCAAGAAAATTGGGATGACGAGGAAATAAAAATTAATAAAAATGTTGTAGCGCAATCTTTGCAATCCGTCAGCGCAAAACCTCAATCGCCAAAAGGGATAAATATGAATTGTTTAACTACAATGAAGACTGTGACAGAATCCAGTATAGAACAAGGGAACGTAGATTTAGATACTCGAATAGCGCTAATATTTAAAGGAAAGACTTTTGGTAATGCACCACCTTTTCTTCAAATGGATAGTAGCGATTCGGAAACCGATAAAGGCAAACCCGATGTATCTTTTGACATTATTTCTGATTCAATCAGTTTAGAGAACAAGAAAAAGTCATGCGACAAAAATATAAAAGCTCTGCAACAATCAAATGGAGCAAGTGATATATCAAGTGACGAAGAAATAATAGTCAAAAAAGAAAGGTCTAAACTCAGTCTTTTAAATGAAAAAGAAAAAAATGATGACAATATGTCTTTATCGAGCTTGTCTTCTCATGAGGATCCAATTCAAAATTTGTCAAACGTGGGATATGGAGAAAACAAAAAACCTATTTTATCATCGTCTTACATGTATCCAAATACATCAGATCAACATCCTTATTATTACCATGCAAATGGATATGGACATTATCCGTCAGGTATCCCGTCAAACTCTCCTTTAACTAGCCGATATTTTTCAAATGCAGCCTACATACAGCCCGGTTACTTGACTGGAGTCGGTTCATTCAATTTCGATTCGTTTGCTGAGCCACATGACTATCAAATGACTACTCTTTCAGATCAGAATGACGAGATAAGGCAAAAAGTGAAAAAGGTTTTAAACTATATTGTCGAAGAGCTAAAGCAGATTTTAAAGAAAGATGTAAATAAACGCATGGTTGAAATAACTGCATTTAAAAACTTTGAGACCTGGTGGGAGGATCAGACGTTAAAAGCTAGATCGAAACCACTACCCGAAATTGCAGAATCAACCTTTAATATAACCTCAAATTTCCCCAAAGAAACACCTAATAGCGAAAAGCCTCCTGACATAAATCAGCTTATTAATACCCAACGGGAAATTTCCGATTTTCAATCGTTCTCAAGTATAGGGTTAAGGGCGGCAATGCCCAAGCTACCATCGTTTCGGCGTGTACGAAAACATCCAAGTCCTACTCCAAACCGAAATGATTTTTTGGAAAGAGATCTAAGTGACCAAGAGGAAATGGTTCAACGGTCGGACTCTGAAAAAGAAGATTCCAATATGGGAAGCTCTGGCACGGCACATTCAAACTTAAAGGGCCAAGTTTTAAACCAAGAATCTGATACAAAATCGCAGACATCGGTATTAAATTTAAAAAGAAAGGGAAGTGCATCAAGTTTTTTTTCTTCTTCGTCTTCGTCCTCATCTAGTGAAGCTGAGTACGATCGCAACGAATGTATTAAAAAGGAAAAAACCAGTGAGGATGATAGCCTTGATGAAAATAATCGAAGGAATCTGAGTCAACGGAAAAAAATTATTAGAAATAGAAGCCGAGCAGGTTTAAAAGTTAATGAAGATAATGACATGAAAGATATATACTCGGAATCTAACGAGTACAAAAAAAAACACATAAAACGAGGTCGCACAAAAAAAAATAATATTTATTCTGATACCGATGAAGATATTGAAAGTACTAAATTAAATACTTTGCTGCCTGCGTTACAAGAAAAAAAAAATTCATCTATTCCTTCTGATCTTGAAGATATAAGTAAAGATAGTTGCTTCGGATTGGATGAAAACGATATTGACTCCTCATTAATATCAGAGCTCCAAACTACGCTACAAATTAATAAAGATTGTCGCCGGTCTCTTACACCTGTTCCGCCTCCGGACTACAATGAAGAGCCTGTTCAAAAAAATGATGATTTTAAACAAAAGTCCATTTATGAATATGATAGAATTTATAGCGACTCTGAGGAGGAGAGAGAGTATCAGGAGAAGAGAAGAAGAAACACCGAATACATGGCTCAAATTGAAAGAGAATTTTTAGAGGAACAAGAGAAAAAGATCGAAAAGGATGAAATAGATGAAATCAGGCCATCATCTTATTCGGTTGTAGAAAGGTCTCCAAATCATAAGAATGAAGAAAATAAAGATATATCAATCCTCCATAAAACCCCAGGATTTGCAAACTTAAATCAATTTGTGGAAAACTTTCAGCCTCTTAACCAAATAAAAACGAAAAACAAAATTACCAACGAAACGAGCGCTATTAAGGGTTATGATATAACTGCAAATGGTAGTAACAAAATGTGCACCAATTCTATGGACGAAATAAAAGGAACGCAGTCACCAGTATCTTCAGACGGTGGATCCAGCCAAGCATCGCAGGCTAGTCAAGTTGCTCTAGAGCATTGTTATTCATTGCCGCCACACGCACAGTCAGTTTCGTTCGGCAAAATTCCATCTAAGAAGATATTTGATAATAAAACCATTTTGGAACGCGACCCGGAAAACATATCTCCTGGTGTTGATCAAATGACAAAATCAGGCCCAGGCAGACCTCGAAAGGATACTAGTCGCACTCAGAGAAAAAAGAAAGATTCAATACCGCGGATGTCAAATGTGAAGACTAAAATAGCACCAATTACTAATGCATTAGCCGAATTTGCCCGCAAAACGGAAACTTTCTTTCCGATTGAGATGTATAAAGCTCGTGATCAGAATGAGGAAATGGTTATTTTATACACTTTCCTAACGAAAGGAATCGATGCAGAAGATATTAACTTTATAAAAATGAGCTATTCGGATCATTTGCAAAAGGAGCCATACGCGTAAGTGATTTTTAGTAAAAAAAATATAATTTTATAATAATCTCAAGTTTTTTCTAGAATGTTTTTAAATAACACCCATTGGGTAGATCACTGTACAACTGACCGAGCGTTTTGGCCACCGCCTCCAAAGAAACGAAGAAAAGATGATGAACTGATGCGCCATAAGACTGGGTGTGCTCGAACTGAAGGCTTTTACAAATTGGATGTTCGAGAAAAGGCTAAACACAAGTACCATCACGCTAAAGCCAATACAGAAGATTCCCATAATGAAGACCGTAGCGATGAACCTACAGCACTTACCAATCATCACCATAATAAATTAATATCCAAAATGCAAGGTATTTCCCGAGAAGCACGCTCAAACCAACGTCGGCTCTTGACAGCTTTTGGTTCTATGGGTGAGTCTGAGCTTTTAAAATTTAATCAGCTCAAATTTCGGAAGAAACAGCTTAAGTTTGCAAAATCTGCGATACATGATTGGGGATTATTTGCAATGGAGCCTATAGCTGCAGACGAAATGGTAATTGAATACGTTGGTCAAATGATTCGGCCCGTGGTTGCTGATCTAAGAGAAACAAAGTACGAAGCGATTGGAATCGGTAGTTCTTATCTGTTTCGAATTGACATGGAAACTATAATTGACGCTACCAAATGTGGAAATTTAGCACGATTTATAAATCACAGCTGCAATGCAAGTATATCTGAAATTACTAATAATTGTATGTGCTAATGAGGTATATTTTTTAATTACAGCCAAACTGCTACGCAAAGGTCATTACTATTGAGTCTGAAAAAAAGATAGTTATATATTCAAAGCAACCGATTGGTATCAACGAGGAAATAACGTATGATTATAAGTTTCCATTGGAAGATGAAAAAATACCTTGTTTATGTGGAGCCCAAGGATGCCGGGGTACACTTAACTAAAGCTAAATTATATATAAAATTTGCAACTCTGAATTAAATATTTGGAATCTCGCGGTTTGATTTTTGTTATATTCAGAGTCGGTGCTCATGTAAATACAAATATTGGCGATATTTTGCTTAGACAATTTTACAGCAAATTATGGAAAATGTATAACTAAAAAACAATTTGTAAATTTATTTAAATAAGCTAGGTCAGTTTCAAACGTGAAATAAGGACATGCTTTCTATTAGTTCATAGGATTATAATCGATCTTAGAACATTAGCCATGTAAGACCAATTTATATTAAATAACTTTTACACTGTAAATAGTTACATTTAGGTCAAAAATTCAATAAAATCCCAAACTCATCAAAAATGTTGAATAATATATTTATTTTATTTATCGCTTATTGCAAATTAGTTTTAAGTGTTATTTGCATATCCAATTGAGCTTGAGCTATATTTTCCAAAGCAGACTGCATTTTTTCTAGCAAAATCTCGCCCTTTTGTACTACTTGCTCAAGTTCATGTGCAGTTTCTTGATTTTCGATCTCAAGCCTCTTTAGGCTGGAATTTTGTAGTTCAATGGAACTATCTTCATTTGGTAATGACTCTATTAATGTGTCAATATCCTTGGCACATCGTGCAATCAATTGTGCGAATAGCTGGGCATAGTCCTCTTGAGGGTGACAAGTGTTTGGCGTTTGGGATCCTATTCGATCAAAATTTGCAAATTTACTTGGAAAAGATGTTTGCTGAATCACACCAATCGCATTGCAGAAGTGCTCCGCTTGCTGCAAGTACCAGTTTAAAAATAATAATAAAAATATATTAAATCTGTAATTGTATCTAAATCTTATAAAGTACCTGATTAACTGTGTCTTGCAACTGTGTAAGTCTGTCTGCCATTTTAGTATACCACCGTGTAACATTTAAGCTAAAGAAAAATGTCATCAGCAGAAAATGGTATATTAATTAATTTGTTGTTTGCTATCCACGTAGAAATGGCTATGAATAAAATTATACATTGCATTAATATTTATACACAACAGTGTACCAGGGCTGGGTGACAGGGTTGTCAAAAATGAATAAATTTATCAAAAATCGACACGGATACATTTTTTACACCAATATTTAATCAAAAGGCTTGTTCAGACTGGGGTGCATCTTCTTTAACAAACCATTTCCTTATTTTCATTAGGCCCAGTACTCAGATCAGCTATAAGAGTAAGCGAGGGGCGAATAGCTAGCGAATAGCTGGCGAACAGTTTTCGTCAGGCCCTGTTTTCATCACGGTTCTGGGTGAACGTCAGGACCAAGCAAAAAAAAATCTTCTGAAGTGCCTATTGTTAGAGCAATGTATTTCATGGAAAATTGACGGACGAATGCAAAAAAAACGAGGACGGAAGCTAACTTCGGCAAGCCGAAGTTTTAATACCCTTGCAGACTTTCCCGAAATTGATAAAATTGAAAACGTAGCGAAAAGAATAAGATATACACAAATAAATCAGATTTGCATGGGTCATGTTAATAGCTTTTATACTGCAAAAACGTCATATAAAAATTGAAAAAACAAGAGAGGAAAGCTAACTTCGGACGGAGCCGAAGTTGATATACCCTTGCAAAAAAGGAAAGCTTACTTCGGGCGGAGCCAAAGTTGATATACCCTTGCAGAATATTCTGTAAATTATATTCTCCAAAATTATTCATATTATGCATTCTTAATACTCATTCTTCTTTTGATTTTGACATATCTACCCTTTTGCAGCCTCTTTTATAATGCAAGGGAGTGACCGTAACGAGCAGTAACGGTCATAAAATTAATAATATAGGATATAGTTGGCCTTATGAAATTTGGTAGGTCGAATTGATTGGCCAAAATTAAAACCCATAGAAAATCCCTACTTCCTAACTTTACAAACACCAAAGTTATGGCATTTCCGATCAATCAGTTATATGGCGGAGATAGGATATAGTCGGCCGACCCCGGCCGTTCCGACTTATATACTGCGCGCAAAGAAATTCAAAATCTTTAAAACGGAGAGACTAGTTCGCGTGGAAACAGACAGTCGGACATGCTTATACCAACTCACGACGCAATCCTGATCAAGAATATAGGGTCGGAGATGTCTCCTTCACTGCGTTCACTTTTGACCAAAATTATAATACCCTCTGCAAGGGTATAAACCCAAATTAACGCCTGGAAGAATTTAGTTCAACATTCAATTAACAAAATATTAAATATTATAAAAAAAAAATAAATTAATTGAAATTTTGTTATTTTTTTATTTCTTTGTATATATTGCATTCTCGTCTTTCCGAAGTACTTAAGAATAAACTTTAAAAGCCCTTTCCAGCAGATAAGTTTTTGAATGTTAACTGCTGGTCAACAAACCCAGCTGATTGTCAGTAAGATCGTAGCACAACCAGTTCTGATGAACTCTCAAAAATGCTGTCACAATGAAATCTATATATAAGTTAACTAAGTAGCTAACGGACGGAGTCGATGACCGAATGTCCGCAGCCCAGCAGATGCTCGTGCATAGCCGGCAAGCACTGCATAAATAAATAATAAATATCTTGTTATTATTTGCGCTGTCTGAGTCTCTAGGCCAGCAGGCGAAGGGGGTCAGTTACCTCCCAACTTAATTCATCCTAATCTACAAAGGTGAAAGGACAGCCATCCGGCTAAGACAGCTGCGAGGGATCTCCAACTTCTACGTGTGAAGACGTAGCCAAAGCAACCTCTTCTTTCCGCACCCACGGGCGGATACCACCAGTGGCTGCTATTCGCAGTCACCTCACACCAACAGGCGCAGCTAGCGGTGATCATTTCCCCCCGCACCCACGGGCGGATACCATCAGTGGCTGCTATTCGCAGTCACCTCACACCACCAGGCGCAGCTAGCAGTGATCATTTCACCCGCACCCGCGGGCGAACCTGGCAAGTGGCTGCTGTTAGCAGTCATCTCACAAATACAGGCGCTACTAGCGACAACCACTTCGCCCCGCACCTAAGTGTGGGCAATATTGAAGAAGACCACCCTTCAACCAGTGCGGCTGAGGAAGACCACCCCAGGCCGCACCCATTCTAAGTATAATTGGCGCTCAACAACAAAAACCCAAGCGGTTTCGCGAAGAACTTGGATATAAAAATTTTATTTTTTGAGGAAGGAATCACACACACAATAAATAATATGTAAGTGAACCTCTTCTTTAAATATTTTCTAGACAACCTGCGAAAACATATTAAAATATTTTCTACAAAATACCATCTGCAACAAACGCATATATTTTTAAAGAAGATAAAACGCCCTTAAACCTTGTGAAACTCAGAATTTGATTGACAAAAATAAAAAAAATATATCACAGTTAAATTCATTAATTTTATCTAATTTTAAGTATTTTGACAAATACTTTTATTTATTATATGTCTCATAAAATTTATAATATTATGATTTTTATATATTTACCACTACACTATTTTCTACGCAACGGTACATATATTTACTACCATTAAAATAACTAAGCAAACTATATTCATTGCCCCGTTCGGCATTGTGACAAAATACGAGCCCACATTTTGGCAGCTCTGGCATTTTTTATTTTTTTCTGTAGGCCTAACTGCATATGAGCTCACCATTTTTTCAATATAGGAGCGTCAGGCAGTACGCTAGTGATTCAGGGTCAGAAAGCGAAGAGCTCATTCGAGCCCCTAGTCCATTAAACACGCGAGGAAACCCCCTAGCGGGCGGCTATTGATAATGCCTTAGCCGGACAAGCCGCCGCGAATCTACAGAAAGAACAGGAGTTAAGACAGGCAATCGATTCATTAACCAGCCAGGTGGCAGTATTACGCGCTGGGCCCACCGCGTCCCGAGCTTCGGCTCCAACTTCAGAAATTAAAGCCATACAGATTAGGGATGAAGTTCAATGCAACGAACCCTTGGACGCTGTTAAATGCCTACCCGAATTTGCGGGGGCACAAGAGTCCTATGTTTCTTGGAGGAAAGCGGCGGCCGCTGCCTACCATATATTCAGACGGTACGATGGCAGCTCACGCCATTATCAGGCGCTGATTATTATAAGAAGTACTGTATTGAATTTGCTTATTATTGATGCGATTATAAGTCGCCTCGATTTCACATATAGTGACAAACGACCGATGCATGTCTTCGAACAAGAATTAGGCACTCTCAGACTGGGTGGTCTAACCCTATTACAATACTACGATGAGGTAGAAAAAAAGCTTACGCTACTAACTAACAAAGTAAACATGTCATATGAACGAAATATGGCAGCGGTATTATGCCTGAAGCGGAATCTTACAGACGTACTTTTCTCGGCAAACCCGAAAGACATGCCATCGGCCCTAGCCCTGGCACAAGAGGTTGAGTCCAACCATGAGAGGTATCTTTTCGCAACCACTTTTGAGAAAAGTTAATAGAAACCCGTATTACACTAAACAAGCTAAAGCGCAGATCCATTCTGACCCGCGCGATAGTAAACTGCAGAGTATACCGGAGCCGATGGAAGTCGATCCCTCTGCAAGGGTTTTGCCACAGAGCAGGCAGGGAAATCTTACGCCAACACTGCTTCCAGCGCAGTAGCAGAAATTAACGATGATTCCATTTGCGAATATGATTCAGATGTAATTAATTTTTTAGGGGAACATCCCTGTTATCCGTCATCGGATGAAGAGTAGCAGGGGCGCACATTAAGTTCTTGATTGACACAGGCGCATCTAAAAATTTCATTAAATTCCCAGTTAATTCCCTGTTCACTATCCATTCCATTCATGGCGAGACCTCAATCAAAGAAAAATGCTTCATATCGCTATTCAACATTAAGGCGAATCCAATCGGAATCCAATCCGAACGCAAAAATCAAAAGGTGGAAAGCGCAAATTGATGAGTCCGGGGCGCGCATTTTTTACAAGCCAGGTAAAGAAAATCTGGTTGCCGATGCACTATCTCGGCAACAACTTAATGTCATGGGGGAGCAAGACGCTGAATCGTGCGTACCTACTATACACAGCGAACTCTCCCTGACCCACACAATTGAGGCAACGGATAAGCCCTTAAATTGCTTTCAGAACCAGAGAACTCTGGAGGAGGCATGCTTTCCACTAAAATGCAGCTTTGTTCGCTTTGGAAACAAGAGACGGCATGCGATCAGCTTCTCCTGCAAAGAGTCATTACTTGATGAGCTCGCAGATGTAATAGTCCCTAAGGGCGTAAACGCCATCCATTGCGATTTGCACACACTCGCAATGATACAGGACGATTTTCAGCCACAAAATTTTGGCAGTGCAAAAATCGCGTAACGGACATTTTTGCAATTGCAGAGAGACGAGAAATCCTCTCCGCTGAACACAACAGGGCTCACAGGTCGGCCCAAGAAAACGTAAAGCAGGTACTCTCCGAGTACTACTTTCCAAAAATGGCCAAGTTAGCTGCCGAGATCGTAATGAATTCAAGACGTGCGCAAAAGCCAAATACGACAGGCACCCAAAGAAACATGAGCTTGGCGAGACGCCGACCCCCTCTCACGTAGGAGAAATGCTTCACATTGACATTTTTTCTACGGATAAGAAATACTTCCTCACCTGCATTGACAAGTTTTCAAAATTTGCCGTCGTAAACTCGCACACAATCTCAGCCATGCTAGAGAACCATTTTGGTGTGAGCACTGCAAATGCACCACCCCTCCATTGCGTCTCAAACAGACAAGTGGAGCGCTCTCACAGCACCCTGTCGGAACTCGCGCGTTGTCTGAAAATCGATAGAAGGTTAACCGACATTGTGGAATTAATTTTGTTAGCCACCACCAAGTATAACAAGTCGATTCATTCGGTCATTAACAAACGACCAGTCGACGTGGTGGAAGTGCACCCAAGCGATCCGCATACGAATAAAAGACAGGATCATAAGGGCTCAAGACACACTCAGGGCCAAAGAAAATGTCTCCCGAAAAACAGAGTGTTCGAAGTCGGCGAGAAAGTCTTGGTTAAGTCAAACCGAAGACTTGGCAACAAGCTCACACCACTGTGTGAGGAGAAAGCCGTAG